GAATGGTGGATAAAATGAATTTTGGGGACAGATTTCTATCAGCGTTAAAGGCTATTTATCAACAACAATCAGCGCAAGTGGTAGTAAATGGAGGATTGACAGATTTAATTAAAATTGAGAAAGGTACGAGGCAAGGATGCCCACTATCACCTTTATTGTTTATATTGACCTTGGAGATTTTACTAATTCAGATTCGTGAATCATCGAGCATAAAAGGAATAACCCTGGGCAAGAATGACTATAAGCTTAGAGCTTTTGCTGATGATTTGGTTTTTACCTTATTGCAACCGATTGATTCAGCAAGAAACTTGATACAGACTTTGATACAGTATGGGAAAGTTTCGGGATTTAAAGTAAATAATAATAAGACTAAAATATTATCTAAAAATATGTTTTTGGAAGATAGAGAGACTTTAAGTAACCTAACTGGTTATGAAATAGTGAAAAAGGTGAAATACTTGGGTGTTTATATTACTGCCTCTAATGTTAAACTGTATAAAAATAATTATGATAAGTTATGGATAAAAGTTCAAAAGGATTTAAATGAGTGGAAAAAGTTACAGTTATCATTATTGGGGAGAATTTCAGTGGTTAAAATGAATGTTCTCCCTAAATTTCTTTTTTTGTTTCAGATGATACCTATTTTAAAAAAGGATTTAAATTTGGAAGAGTGGCAAAGAGGTGTCAATAGGTTTATTTGGCAGGGGAAAAAACTGAGGGTTAAATTTAAAATTTTGCAAGATGCAAGGGAAAGAGGGGGACTTAAAGCCCCAAATTTAAAATTATATTATGATGCGGTGGTTTTAACTTGGATTAGTGATTGGATTAATTTAACTAATAGAGATATATTGATTCTTGAAGGTTGGGATTTAATTTATGGATGGCATGCTTATCTATTTTTTGATAAGAAAGATGATTATGTTTTTAGGTCTCATATTTTGAGAACTGCACTTTTGAGAGTTTGGAAAAAGTATTATTATAAATTAAGTTCTAAAATCCCAATGTGGGCTATTCCGGAACATGCAATACAAGGAATTACAAGGGGAGTTAAACTAGAGAGAATTGTTTATAAGGACTTACTTATCTTAAGGGGACAGGACTGGCAAATTAAATTATTGGATGAATTGAGACAAGATAATATTCTCCAGTCCTGGTTCTTCTACTCTCAGTTGGTTGAGAGATGGCGTATAGATCAAAAGTTAGGTTTAACATTGGAAGATGTGAACTTGATAAGACAGATTAAAGATCAAAGCAGAGCTCATATCAGGAGAATATATAGTGTTCTGATAGAGTTTGATTCGGAAACAGAATTAGTTAAAGATTGTATGATTAAATGGGCTCAAAATATTCAAGAACCAATTACGTTAGAAACATGGGAAATAATTTGGGTAAGAAATGTCAAGTTCACTCAAGCACAGAATTTAAGGGAAAATTTTTATAAAATGTTTTATAGATGGCATTTGGATCCCCAAAAATTGTCTTGCATGTACCCGAACTTGCAGCCAAAATGTTGGAGATGGTAATGTGGATGCAACTTATTATCATATCTGGTGGACATGTAGGGATGTTAAAGCCTTTTGGATTAAGATTTGGTGGAACCTTCAACAGATTTTTAAGAAGAAGATAAAATTTACACCGCAATTATTTTTATTGGGCATCATGGATAATTTGGATTCAAAAGAAATGAACTTGATGTTGTACTGTATAACAGCAGCAAGGACATTGATTGCACAAAATTGGAAAAAGGAGATATTACCGACTATGGATGATTGGAGACAGAAAGTCTCATACTTTGCAGAAATGGCAAAAATATCCACATACCTGAAGGATCAATCTCAAGAGAAATTTATTTTGGTATGGAGAAGATGGATAGATTATATTCAGAGAAAATATGAAATGAACAATTATTATATGGCTTTTGATTAATTATTGTTATTTATAAATATTTCTATATATAATTTATATATATAGTTTATAGTTAAGTTGATTATTGTATATTAGAGTTACAGTAAGTTTATACTTGTTTATATTATGAATGGGTTGCTTGGGTTAGACTTGGATTATTATGTGATTATTCCTGTACTCAGTTCTGGGAAGTCCGGGGGGGGAGGAGAGAAGGGGATTAGGGGATAGAAATTATAAAAATCGATGTATTTATATGTTATAGGTAAATAATGGAATTGTATTAAAAAGAGGAGATGCTCGGCTGGTACCCCAAATTGCACTCGATGAGGTGGGAAGAAGGAGAGGTTGTGGGTTTAGGGGGAGGAAGGAGAGGAAAGTGAATGAGGATGGAGGCAAGGCGGGGACTGCCGAGCGTCTCCGAAAACGTATTGAGTACGATTATCTTTTTTTGCTTGTTTAAGTAAATGCATCATATTTGTATTATTTGTTGTTTAATTTTAAAAATTAATAAAAATTAAAAAAAAAAAATAGAGAAATGAGGGAAGATCCATTGCTACTCAAATTGCCATAGAAACGGGGGGGAAAGGGAGAGCCTGGGAAAAGAAACGGGAGTCTCAAGAACCCGTCTCCACACCGTAGACCCAAGATCATCCGAAGCAGGTGTCTGACCGAGACGTGGACCATTCCCAAAAGAAACCGAAAGGATGTGATTGGGCAATGTGAACACACGGTGGGTGGGGGGGTTAGGAAAAAGCCATTGTTAACTAACCAGATTTTCGCGTGGGAAACTTTAAAGAGTTGATTTTTGCTTCTTCAGCGCCAGGATGTGTATTCAATAAAGATGATCTCTTAGGGCACCTCAGAAGCGTAGAGTTTCTTCAATATTGAATTCGCCAGACGGACGGTTGACAAGATGTTACCTAGCCTGGCAACGAAACGTTCAGAAACCAACCCACAAGCTCGGAGAACGAATCTCCGCCCTCATCCTACACTCAAGCTACAGATATTCACCTCTATTGTAAACTCTTACCCTAGATCAGGGATAGGCAACCTTGGCTCTTTTATGACTGGTGGACTTCAACTCCCAGAATTCCTGAGCCAGCATGGCTCAGCATGGAAACCTCTCCATTTCTCCTCAGCATGGCTGCCTCAGGAATTCTGGGAGTTGAAGTCCACCAGTCATAAAAGAGCCAAGGTGGCCTACCCCTGCCCTAGATCATCCCAGACAAATGGCGACCAATCTTTTCTTAAAAACCTCCAGTGTTGGAGCACCGTGTGGTGGCAAGCTGTTCCATTGGTTAATTGTTGTCACTCTTAGGAAATTTCTCCTTCGTTCCAGGTTGCTTCTCTGCTTAATTAGTTTCCATCCGTTGCTTCTTCTCCTGCCCTCAGGTGCTTTCGAGAACAGCTTGACCCCCTCCTCTTCTCTGTGGCAGCCCCTCCAACATTGGAAGGTTGCTATCCTGTCACCCCTCGTCCTTCTCTTCATTAAACTAGATGGACCCAATTCCTGCAACTGTTCTGCATATATTTTAGCCTCCGCCCCCCTAATTGTCTTTGTTAGGCCTGCAGCCTTGTTCTCCAACTTGGTGCCCTCTGGGTGGGCCGGGAGGAACACCAGTTTTAACACACTGGGAAGGTGCCAGATTGCAAAAAATTGGATGACACGAATCTGGCAGCCTGAGGTAGACTATCTACCCAGGGGGTTGGACTAGATGACCTCCAAGGTCCCTTCCAACTTTATTATTATTATTATTATTATTATTATTATTATTATTATTATTATTATTATTATTATTATTATTATTATTATTATGGATCATCGCACAGTCAGCCAGATGTTCAGACTGGATTTGGCATTTTGTCTACCTACCGAGTCCTTCCCAAGGACCTGGGATAGGCAGATGTGGATGTTTGATGTTATTACAGATCTCATCGCAGGATGGAAGCAGTTCCTAGTAAGGCCGCCTTTTGCAATTGACTAATAGCGAATTTGTCAATGCCGATGATGGTGTTCAAGGGGTGCTCCAGTTGTTTGGGGATTGCACCTAAGGTGCCTGTTACTATTGGTACCACCCTTGCTTGCCTTTGCCACAGTCTTTCTATTTCTATTTGTAGATCTTTGTATTTTGTTATCTTCTCCAGTTCTTTCTCGTCTATTCTGCTGTCTCCAGGCACTGCCACGTCCACTATCCAGACTTTTTTTGTCTTTCTTATCGACAATTGTTAAGTCCGGGGTGTTATGTTGCAGGTGCTTGTCTGTTTGAATTCTCAAGTCCCAGAGCAGTTTAATTTTATCATTTTCTATGACTTTGTCTATTTTATGATCCCACCAGTTCTTGCTTACAGGCAAATGATATTTCTTGCAGATCTTCCAATGCACCATTGTTGCTACTTTGTCGTGCCGCTGCTTGTAGTCAGTCTGTGCGATCTTCTTGCAGCAGCTTACCTGGTGGTCCACTGTTTCTTCAGCTTCTTTGCATAGGCGGCACTTACTGTCTGTTGCTGTCTTCTCAATTTTGACTTTGTATGCATTTGTCCTTAAGGCTTGGTCTTGTGCAGCCAGAATTAGTCCCTCGGTCTCTATCTTCAACTTTCCTGCTCTTAGCCATTGCCAGGTCTTGTTATTATCTGCTTTCCCAGCTATTTTTTTAATGTACTGGCCATGTAGTGCTTTGTCTTCGCATGCCTCTATTCTGTTCTTCATTTGGTCTTTCTTGTAGGCCAGTTTGGTCTCTCCAGTAGTCAGTAAGCCTTCCTGATATACTAATTTCAGTGCATCTTCATCACTGTTCTTCAGATATTCTTCCAAAGCCATTTTTTCTTCTTCAACCATCTATATTATTATTATTATTATTATTATTATTATTATTATTATTATTATTATTATTATTATTATTATTATTATTATTATTATTATCTCTGAACATGGAGGCTGCACTGGGAGCCGTGAAATGCATTTAAGAACCCTTGCTGGATCTGATAGGGCTGTAGCTGCTAAGGTAGACTGCCACTGCAGGTGGAGGCTTCACTGACTAGTCCTCAGGCCAAACATGGGGAAGAAATCCATCCTGGGTGCCCCCTCCCCTCCTTACCTGCCACCACACCGCCTTGGCGTTCCACCAGCTGGATGGCGCCCTGCATGGTGCCCCCTGTCTCTACCCACTGATCCACCAGTAGGACCCGGACACCTGGAAAGGGGGGCAGAACCAAGATGGGTCTGGGGTCTTTTTCACCCAGCTGTCCCCCCTTCCCCCCGCAGCCCTTGAGAGGGGTCCCGGCAGGTGGAGGTGGAGTTTTCCAGCCCACTTTCTGGCTGTGGCCACAGCGGTGGATACAGTGATGCCCACCCTGTGCAGATGCCCCCCTGGCAGTGCCCCCCCCAGCAGAGGGCCCCCAGCTAGCAAAGGAGCACAGAATTGCATCCAATTGCAAATTTAATCAGTCATTAAGAAGGAATCCTCTACCTGAGCTGATGGCGTCTGTGCGGGTTTCCATCACTTTTTCACGGTCTGTGTAGTCCCGGTAGGTCTGGGTGCGAGTGTCGACACAAAGATGGCCGGCTTTCCGGATGGCCACGAAGCCTTTTCGGAGGGTGACGGCGATGGCGGCGCCTGGGTGAGAGGAAAGAGTGGGGAGGAGCCCCGGATCCCAGTCCTTAGTAAGCTATTCCTTCCATCCTTCCTAGAATCATTACATGATGAATTAGGAGGACTTCAGTGGTCATCTAGTCCAACCCCTGAATCCAGGGAGCCACACTTGGCAGGTGATCAAACGGCCCCACTTGAAAGCCTCTAGGGAGGGTGGGGCCATGGCTTAATGGTTGCTGACCTCTGTTTTTCTCCCTGTTTTATCCTAGCCATAACAACCTTGTAAGGAGAATTCAGCAAATTGAGAGTCATTGGCCAGGGAGGGACTCAATGTCCCAATGAAGGAGAATCTTTGTAGCTCAGGGTTGAAATGAGGGGTCCTTGGTGCTCTCTGAGCCTGGTGGTTTCCTTGCAGACGTTTCATGACCCAACTAGGGAACATCATCAGTGCTAGAAGGGAGGGAGGGAGGGACGGAGGAGGAGGAGGAGGAAGAGGAGGAGGACTGTGGGGGTCCTTGGTGCTCTCTGAGCTGGGTGGTTTCCTTGCAGACGT